ATATATACATACACACACTGAAGTGAACCCTATTGTAGTAAAACAGCAAAGTGAAACTACCTCAATATTTGGTGGGGATGCCATCAGCTAACCTACTTTTAGAAAAACGTCTTCTCCACTTACAATAACATAAACATTTCTATCACCCTAACTTCCCCTTGAGTGGTGGCTCTTCTGTCTATGATACCTGGGTCCCTCTTTAAAGTCAAGGCATTTTGAGATACTGCCTACTAGCAGGTACGATTGCAATCTCCAAACCCTGAAAATCTGCCATTCCTTTTTATCTTGTGGAGTGGGCACAGATTCTCAATGATATGACTTAGAAGACCCAGGTGGCATCTAACCGAAACAAATCTAAGGAGGCCTTCTTAACCTGGTCTTGTTGGGTGACTCACGGGGACTCCCACACCTTTAAAGCTTTGACCCATAAATAACTGGAGTTTGCTACCTCTACAACAGTTAGGGAGGTCTACCTTACATGAGTCCCTTTGCTTTTTAGGTTCCTTGGAATGTACGGTACTTCTTTCAAAATATTGCTACACACTTTTCCCTTTTTTAGGTGTACTCTATACCTCACTGTAATGACCATTGAGTCACGTACCTCTGCCTTCACATTCCCCCCCTCCATTTGTTCTCACTTTTGTACTGTAAAACTCCACTAAATCAAAGTGAAGATCCCTTTAAAGGAACTTTGTTCATAAGAGATGGTATATGTTTTACAGATACAGATATTTCACAGAAGATCAGCTATGTTAGTCATTTACAGGCTGTTAGTCACTTCTGTACCTTGCAAAATGGTCTTCTAAGAAGGAACGAAAGTGTTCGAGTTCCATCCGATGTCGCACTAGGGTGCCCAGGTTGTAATTCCTGTACTCCTCAGGTACCAACTCCCACAAGTTGGGTTCTTTAGGGATGTCAGGAGGTGGCACAAAGACTGACTTTTGAGCTTTATCCTGGTAAGACAATCTAGAGTTACATTATTCTACTTAAAGAGAAGGCATAATCAATGAATTTTTAAAGGGGTATCCATGTTAAAATGTAGTTTCTATACTTTTTCTCTCGTTCTTTTCACATTACAACATTATTAAATAGCTCAGGTTCTCATTTAGCTGGTGCTATCAATGAAAAGACTGCTGGGTGTCATTCATGGAGACAATAAAAAAAGAACATGAAAAATGAGCTTTCATTACCAGCAGGCAGCCCTGGATGAACTATTAAAACAGAAAACTGGTGCCCCCCTCAAAGCAATTGCTAATGGATAATGTTTAATGGTAGCAGGGATATTGTATGTTGCTAGGATTTTCTTTTTTATTTGTACACTTCTTGCAGTGTATGTGCAGTGCAATGTACACTCTTGGCAAGTCTCGGGACAGAATAACCCTGGTGCCTGAAGGAAGAAGGCACCGGTCTGAATGAAGTGACGAAGAACATGGCAGAGACAGAGCGGCATCAGGGAGTGCCGACCTTACATCACTGTTGGAAAGCAAATTAAGAGATCGTTTTACCATAATGTGCACATACCACGCCTAATTGCACAATACGGCAAGTGTAAGTGGCTCCTTCATTCAATTCATCCCTCACATTTATTTATAAAAAAATAAGCCAAGGCAACTGGAGTCGCTGTATTTTTCTTAAAAAACGTTTCACTGGTCATCCGACCAGCTTTCTCAATTCAGAATGACTTGTTCAAAAATTATCTGGGAATAAATATGGTGAATGTTGCTCCAATCCACATAATCTGTTAGTCACAATCATGTGGATTGGAACAACATTCACCATATTTATTCAGAGAATTTTTGTACAAGTCATTCTGAACTGAGAAAGCTGGTTGGATGACCAGTGAAACGTTTTCAAGAAAAATACAGCAAGTCCAGTTGCCTTGGCTTATTTTTTACAGATATACCATGACCTGAATGAATGAGAACCTTCACAGACATCCCTCACATTTATTACCTTCTGGATCACTTGCCCCTCCTTGTAGATTGCAAGCTCAGGACTTTTTCTCTGTGTAACATTAGAGAGATTACCCTTTCCTTCCCATTCCAGAGACACAGCAGGAAACAAGATGAAAACCTTTCCATAGTGAGAGCAGAACCCCTCTTAAACAGCCATCCCCAGAACAGGTTTATCCAGTGAAAGATTTCCCCCTCACCTTCTGTTGCGGGGACAACTTACAAGTTTTGCATATCCCATCGCTTTATGTACCTGAGATTCCCCTCACCTTCAGGGACAAGTCAGGGACAACTTAAACATTTTGCATATCCCAACACTTTATGTACCTGAAACAAAGGTCATCAGGACAAACAGGGGTTCTTCTAACTATTCTCCCATCCATCCAATTACAAAAAAATTTTTTTTTATATACTTTTATATTGTGTCAGCATTCTCTGAGATGTTGTATGCTGGTAGAAACACAAAAATATGTGTGTGCATGTATGTATGTGTGCGCATATGTGCATGTGTGTTTATGTGTGTGTGTTAGTGTTTGTGTACGTGTGTGTATAGGTGATAGAGTATATGTGTGTGTGTGTGTGTGTGTGTGTGTGTGTGCGTGTTATTGTGTGGGTGTATGTGTATATACAGTATGTGTGTGGGTGTATAGGTATGTATGTGCGGTGCGTGCACATGTGTGTATGTATATACAGGTGAAACTCGAATAATTAGAATATCGTGCAAAAGTAATTGCAGTAAGTGCTGCAAAAGGGGCCCAAACCAAGTACTGAGTACATATGCATGCTTGTACTTTTCAGAGGTCCGATATTGTTCTATGTACAATCCTTGTTTTATTGATTGCATGTAATAATCTACTTTTTTGAGGTTGTGGATTTGGGGTTCTTGGGGTTTTCATGAGCTGTAAGCCATAATCATCACAATTATGACAAATCACAGCTTGAATTATGTTGCTTTGCATGTAATGAGTCTATCTCATATATTAGTTTCACCTTTTAAGTTGCATTAGTGAAATAAATGGACTTTGCACGATATTCTAATTATTTGAGTTTCACCTGTATGTGCGTACATGCATGTGTGTGTGTTAGTGTATGTGTGTGTAAGTGCGTGCATGTGTGTGTTAGTGTATGTGTGTGGGTGTGTGTGTCTATATGTGTGTGCTTGTATGGGTATGCATGTATGTGTGCGTGCGTGAGTTTATGTGTGTATGTGTGTTAGTGTATGTGTGAGTATATGTGTGTGTTAGTGTATCTATGTGTATGTATGTGTGTGTGTGTGTGTGTGTGATAGTATATGTGTGTGTGTGTATCATACAAGATGCAATGCTAAATGGTTAACACTATGGTGTGCTGTTCTTAAAGCCGTATTGGGTGTTTCTGTTCATTTCATACACCGTTCATACTTCATAAAATGAAACATGACATGCGTATCTATGGGGAAAACAATGATAAATGAGCTCTGGTGTTTTACCATGCAGTTGATAAATGACTCCACTTGGAATTACTAATCTGATTGTGTAAAGGGGATTATCGGCTTGTTATGTTTGACGTTGTGGCTGTCGCGTTTCTCGGTATTTTGTTTGTCCAAAGTCACTTAGTGCTGACATCAGCATAAAGGATTTGGAAGATTAATTTAACGATCTTTCTTTGAAGATGTGCAACAACAACAGCTTCATGCCTTCATCAAAGCAGAAAATGTCTGTTTCAAGCTTCAGACATCATCAGTCATACACAGTCAGCATGCCGCACAGAGACTATAAGGCATAGACACTCTATAGCAGTGGTTCTCAACCTGTGTAACTTCAGGACCCACATTTGTCCTTGATGATTAAGTCGCGACCCAAGTCGCACTGCTTTGGAACGAGCGGAATTAGGCTCCCGTGCGTTCCAGTGCGGGCGTACGAACTGTGGGTGGGGGGTGCGTTTGGCGTGCCATTCAAATGAGTGGCAACCTAACATACCTCCCACACCAGAATGCACAGTAGGTGCGATTGCATTTAACGCACTGTACTAGTGTGAACGGGCCCTCAAAAACACTGACATACATACACAACCACAGACACAATCTCACACACTCACAGACATTCTCACACACACATATACACTCCAAATAATATTCTACCTACCTTATGAGAACTGCAGTGGATCCTCAACCTGGGGTACAATGTGGGCTGCTGAACTGTGACGGAGCTCTCTCCATATGTGCATTGCTTGTACAGCTCCCTTGCGTGCCCTGTAGAGGTGCCAGGAGCCAGAATGTGACGTCACCCCAGTCCAGGCACCTCTACAGGACACGTGAAGGAGCTTTAGGCAATGCAAGTATGGATAGTGCTCCCTCGTGGCCATAGCTCCAGCCCACCCCACCTCACCTCAAGCTGACACTCGGCACTGGGCAGCATATTTTGAATGGCTGCTTGGTGCAAGTACTGACAGTGCTGCACTGGGGGGCTGAGAAAACTCTCAAGTAGAAAAGTGGAAGGCATGCGGCGACCCACTGAACATGGGGTCACGACTCACTTTTGGGTCACAAACCACCAGTTGAGAACCAAGGCTCTATAGGATGGCAAAGTCCCAGTCCAGGCTTGGCAGAATTTTAAGGCCAACTTTTTGTCAGCTTTTTATTTCTGTCTATGACCCCATAGGGTAAATTTCTCCTCATTTCCTGTACTTGCGTCACCTATACAAGAAAGAGGTGGTTTGCTTTTTAATTATATCAAATCACAGATAATCATACAGAAAAAATATGTTTCTTGTGCTTGTGTGCCTGTTCTATCCAAAATAAGTAATCCAAAATAAAAGTTTTGGGTGGAGTTGTGCTTTAAAGTCCCAGCATACACCACCATGCTAAAGAGGACATCCACAGAATAGGGGGGATTCTGTAAAGTAAAATCAACAAATCTTCCCCAAATCTGCCTGGAAACACTAACTCTTGCCAACCTACAGTAGATATGTGTCTCAATCTTTCTCGGTGGTTGAAATAGGAGACTGTCAGAGCTGGTGTGAATTCAATTTACTTTGTGTCAGAGACTCCTATAAGTTAAAAGAGAACTAAACCTTTTTTTGGCTTTAGTCCTCTTTTGGGTCACTAATGTTCTCCTTGTGACCTAAAGTCAGCACCTAGCAGGTTATTGCCCTCTTTATGCTGACAGTGCAGAGTCGAGTTGAAGCCAGGAAAGATCCTGATAATATGGTCACGATCCACCCAGCTGCCTGACTCACAGCTGGCTGTGCCTCTCTAGAGCCAGAGTCAGCTGTGCCCACCCCCTCCGCTGTCTGTCTCTCCAGTCAACGCCGGAGGAACATAGAGAGGAGGGGGGAACCCTATAGGGAGCGGTGACTGACAGTCATTAAGCGTTGACTGGAGGGACAGACAGGGGAGGGGGTGGGCACAGCTGACTCTGGCTCTAGAGAGGCACAGCCAGCTGTGAGTCAGGCAGCTGGGTGGATCGTGACCATATTATGCATGTTGAGTACCCATACAATGTATAAGGTACAGGATCTGAACAGGAACCTTCTTGGTTTCTTGTTCCTTAGGTCAGTGACCCGATGTTCTATATTGCTCTCCTCCAGGACATCCCACTGCTGTTCTTTTGAACCACAGCCATTACTTTAAATGATTATATTATGTGGCATTACAGGAAATAAGGGTGATTTACCATAGCATGGTCTGGAAGAAGGAAGACAAATCATCCAAACATTTTTACTTTGAACTATAAAATCCTAAATATTTTAATGGTCTCTTTTGAACAGGTCCTAAGTTCGGGTAATTATGAAAACAGATGGCAACGTTAAACAAAATATTAACATCTTAGCGTTCCATGAGTTTTTCACAGGAAAAAAATGTTTATATTTCAAAGCAATATTCTTCAGAACCAGTCTAAACAAAGACATGTTTACGATTTTTTCTTATAATTATAAAAATAATAGAAAATGTCATAACTGCATTACAAATAATATAGTTCAAAGGACTTACAGTGTCAATTATTCCAAGGTTGGTGAAGAAAGGTAAAGTATAGAGAAGAAGCGCATGTCCAGCAGAAATCCAAAGACCTTGTGGGCTGTATGTAGCACACAGGAGTAAAGTTGGCCATATACTGGTAGAGTTTTGTATGAATGTTCATACAAAAAATCTCATGAGTTTGATACTTTTGATAAAACGTTTGATAATACCATCAGAGACTTGATAAATAATGTTCGAAATTTGGTTTGAAATGTTGTTCTTTTTGAATATTAGATTTTGAAATAGAATAGAAATAATTCTGCAGATTTAAGATTAAGGAACACTTCAAATACAGAAAAACAAGCTCATCTACATGGCCACATGTATTCTACGTGCTCCTGGGTACAATTAGAGTACACATTGAGAATAGCAATCTAGGTCTTGTGGTTGAGTTTTTTTATGGGTAGCCACCTTGCCCTAAGTGGAGTAACTTCTTACATTTAGTTCTTATGGACTGTATCCAGCCTAGCTAATTTGATAGTCCGTGCTCATCTGGGTGTGACCTTGCCACAAAGCACAGCATCCAATAATGTGGTGTTATCAATATATGTGTCTCTCTAGCCAATCACTAGGAGGTTCATGGCCAGTGGTGCATGATGGAGGAAGACATAAATATCCAGAGCTGACCATGTGAGCTGACCTCTTCCCCCGGGCCTCCTGCCTGGGGGAGGGTGCGTGATGTGAGTTGCTGTCTGACCAGGTGGTCTGTTTGTGGGATGGAGAACCAGTGAGGAACTTCATCTACTGTAGGTGCCAGAGAAGCCAGGATTGGGCTTGGACCTCGCAGTAATTCTGGTTTCTCACCTAGGGAATTTTGTGCTATGTCTGCTAACCAGCTAAGGTTCTACAATACACAGTGTTACTGCAATACGTTTTAAGGCTCTCTGCACTGTAAAGCTGGGAAATGGTCCATCTGTAAAAAATAAGTCAAAGGAACTGGACCAGCTGTATTTTTCTTGTCACTGGACATCCTCCACACTGTCCTGGCATTTTGTTTTATTTATAAATGAAGAAGCTGGGGATATCCTACAGTGCGTTCTCTTCATAACTGCAAACAATTGTAGATAGGAGGAGAGCTTTGTCACAAGACCTGTTTCAGATCATGCAACAGGATTTCTTATTCTAGAACGCTTTTTCCTATTCATTAGAACACATAGGGATTTGATTGAGCCTGTAAGCAAGCAAAGTGTAAAAAGTATTATATATAGCACGCAGCTGGAGGTGCGCTTTTAGGAGGGGATTTTATTAGAAGGAGGTTTATTAGAAAAGCATGGAAATGGCCATGGTTAGATCATACTGCTACTTTATAAATGGGCTCCTATGTGACATACAGCACAGCTTGTGGAGGCAGTTCAGGAGAACATTCATGGTAGCCGAGCTTGTTGTATTCCGGATACAGCTACTAAAAGCTCAGGAGAAAGAACCACTACACACGGGAACAGAAATTCACATCCTTGCATGTGTGAATGGCAGTTGTAGACAACAGGTTATTTAGTTTTTCTTTCACATAGCGTTTTATTTTTTCCAACATTAAAATTACTTTTTTTGCTGTGTGGTCAGTTTAGATGTATTGATTGGAGAAATTCCTTTTTAACTGGCTGCCATATTCAATACAGACCTGTGAATAATGGAACAGAGATCGTCTCTTACCACATCTTTCCGGGACGCCTTCTCCTGTTGCAGAGCCTGCAGCTTTCTATAGTAAGCTGACTCCAGCTGTCGGGATTCTTCAACCAACTCTACCTAATAAAAGAATAAAACAAAGTCAGGAATATGCTACCGACCTCTGCAGGAGTAAGGGGGCTCTGGTATTAAATGAATGGAAAGACCAGCTGTCCAATGACAGCAGCTATTTTACTGTGAATATTGTGGGATGTGATGGAGAGCAGCTGACTGGATCAAATTGTAATTCTGACCATAATAAACAGGCAGATGAGTTCCAGACAGTGACTTAGGCCCACCTAGCATGCACCCCTTCAGCTCATAAAATAAAAATTATTTGACTGCTGTAGCAGAACTCCCATGTCAGATTTCAATGTTTTAATTTTCTTGCTATTTACAGTATGTTACTGTTATAATGGATTCATCCCTTACCCTGATGGACTCATCCAAAAAATTATATACCCACAGTGTTATCCTAGTAGTTGAGAGGCTACTGGGGATTTTTCTGCTGTTGATAAAAAAATAAAACCCTGCAGAACTCCCCTCAAACCCTCAAGGGTAATTTTGTCTAGTAGAGATTGCAAAGAATGACTAAAAACACATACCGTATGTGAAAAATCACATGTGAATCATATCTGAAAAGTCATATGTGAAAACCCACATCATGTTTAGATACGATGTATAGAGAAAACTGCCAGGCACTTGGTCTTTACCAGTTGTTCTATGTACAACATACTGTATCTAAGAAGCAGCATAGTTGCAATAAAACATGTTATGTGTCTATATTTAAAAAAGAAAAAAGCCACTGCACTTCCCTAAGGTCCCTTTCACATGCGTGGTCTGATCGGATCCACCTGTCAGTTTTTCAGGCAGACCCAATTGGTCTAAAATGGACGGGTGTACACCCGGTTACCACCGACTCCAGCTAGGTCTGGAAAAACACACAGGGGGGAGTTCGGTTTTGAAAGACCTGATCGTGTCGGATTAGGGGTAATCTGATGTAAAACAAACACGTCTGTTTACATCCGATTCCCATAGACCGACATGGGGTTTGGTAATTTCAGTTTTTACCTCTATCGCAAGACATGAATGTCACAGCGGTGACATCCCATTCCTACCACTTCAATCAGGAGGCAATCTGTGCACGGATCCCTTCCTGATCAGCTCTGATCAGTACTTTCAACTGAGGATCAATACCCAACCTGTTTGAGGGCACCTCAACCTGTTTTGGGGTAATCTATGATACAAAAATATCTAATCAATGTTCACTTCTTTTAAAATGTAACTCTTGGACAATCTTCCACATACTTTGATAGCAACCTTATACTCTGTACAGAATCAGCGAGGATTCAGTAATATTCTCTACAAGTCTTTTTAACGATTGCCCATTTCTTTGGTGTTGGTAATCACCTTATAGAAGTATCCACTAATCCAAATTGGTATTGACCTTCATTTTTAGATTTGTAACAAAAAATGCTACACTGTGCATGCTCTTCAATTATGCCACCATTTATCTTTTTCTTTGTACCAATTTTTTTAGACACCCAGCAAGCACTACTTGGAATTGGCCATGTAATTTTTTTCCATTAGTTCTCAGGTAAAGTGTATGTCCAGACATTATCCAAAGTTGTCCCCTACCCCAGCTTTCCCCCTTTCCCTAATTTATTTCCCAGCACATTTTTTTGTACCTTGGAACAGCTTTTATTTCTCCCAGTGACATCAGCTTAAGGCTTGTAACATTTTTGCAGTGGTAGCTAGGAGGTCAGTTCCTATTGATGTAGACACACCCCAATAACTACATCTCCCAAAAGCTGTATCCCTAAACACAGTGCGTGTGTAGGCTCTTGGAAGATAAGACAGCAGCATTGTTTTGCTGTAAAGGAAATTAATGTATACATGTGGAGCAGAACAGAGAGGGGTGGTGGTTGGGTGGAGTTCTGTAGTCCAGAAGGCAGGGCTGACAACATTTGTTGAGATTACAGTGTAGCAAAGGCACTGTGTTATTAGCTTAAACAGTAAATTAGGAGCACATTGGATTAATGGCTGATCAACAAGTATTTTTCTGTACTTGCTGAAAAAAAGAAAACAAATGCCGTCACCACATCTAAGAATTGGAACCTCTCTCTTGAATGGGTAAAACATGGGGAGATATTCACATATTGAAAACATGCATTGATTGTTTTTACGTTTGCCCTGACATATAGGTTAATATATCTATTCTCTGTAATATGCTGACACACAAAGAAGGTCATATGACCGGTGTACTGGAGCAGAAGTAGTATAATGAAAGCAGGGATATTTGGAGGACCTTATAAGCCACTGAACAGATGATACTCTGTCACATGCAATTATACAAAGGGCTGGCAAGCTCAATTGCTTTAACTGCAGTATTGAAAAGTAAGGTCAGTTCCTGGCTGTGCTCTCTGACAACAATGAATAGTTGATTAGAAAACTGCTTCAACATAAGTATGTATATGTTTGGCAATTAAGACTGTTTATAAGCAGTTTTTTTTTTATTTTTAAGTCCAACTCCAAGTTGCCACCTTTCCATAAAATTTCCTAAAACTCAGTCACCCCTTTTTTTAAGACCTTTTTGTATACATACCTTTTTCCCTTAGGTCTTCAAACCGGTTGACATCATGAGCCTTCTTCATCCGGTGGTGACTGGGTCCTGAGTGCTGTGGATTAAGGTGCCATGCAATGGCGCTGCTCTATGTGGCATTCTCCTGGAAGGCCCAAGTAGTTTGATAACTGACCCCTAGAGTCCTTGACACTCTAGACTCACAGAAACTGGGTTCAATTACATTGGGATGCATTGAACCCGAAAGAGGACAAGAGCGGGGTCCCCTAGCAATGACTATAAGCTGGACAGCACTGGAAATAGGATGAGTATTGAAGAGCAATCTGCTTTTTGTATCTTTACAAATGTTGGGGGATCATTTTTATAATTTTTGCTCAAGCTGAAGTTGGCTTTAACTGTTGGCCTACCCTTGCACTATAAAGAAGAAAAAGGTCTGCAAAAAGAAAAAGTTGTCTAATAGAAAACCTCTAGCTTTGCAAATATATGCTAGAGTGTTTTTTTATTTTAATTTTTGTGGCAATGAGTATTTGGTGACTAGGGAAAGCAAAGACATTAGCCTTTTAGATACATTGCTAAGCAGAGTGACAGATAGCTCACCTTGCCATAGGCCTGCCTGTCTGATTCTGTCATTTGTGTCCAGGCGGAGAGAAGGAGCGTGAGGATGTATTCTTCAGCCGAATCAAATAAATCCTCAAAAGGAGGATCTAGTTTCTGGTAAATCTCTTTCAATATGTTCTGTTCAACGCAAATGTCCATAGAAGCAGAAGGAGCCAGGTAAGTGCCAAAAATATACTGCAAGAAAGAAACAGGGTCAGGTCATTAAATCACATCAGGATTTATATGGGATATGAATTTCGGAGAAAGTTAAACATGAGCACAGACAGCATCCTGACACATCACATCTGATTATATTGTTCTAAAATCCAGGCCACGTCTGGAAAATGATTGCTCTTTCCTGCCATTGTGGAACAACAAATACCAGCGAGATGCAACTTTTCAAAAGGCTTCGTTTACTAAACCCCGCAGGCAGCAAACTCGCTGCGTATGTGGGGTTGATGCCGGTGGAAGGGACAAGACACACATTAGATGGAGCTCAGACATTAGGAAATAAAGAACCAACTAAAGATACTCACATATACGGAAGAGCCCTGGGGACATGATAAAAAATATATGAAAGATAATGCTGTATTTAAAAGTCAGAATTATGTGTTTGAAAGTCAGAATTCTGATTTTGAATCTCAGAATTCTGACTTTCAAACTCAGAATTCTGACTTGTAATCTCAGAATTCTGACTTTTAGGGGGTGATTTACTAACCTAAACACACACACACACCAGGTGTGTGTGATTTTCACACAGCAAAACGTATTTATCAACCAAAAAGTCTCTAAAAGCATATTTCCACTAATGCCATATATGGAAAAATCATGCACATGATGCATATATAATGCTGCTTCACAGTTTAGACAAAAATGGTTAGCTCATGCATTTACATTCCTGCATTCATCAACGCAAGCAACATAACATAGAGCTAATTTACACCACATTACCTTGCAATTCATTGCAGGGCTTTCCACAACACACCTGCTGGGTGTGTACACACTACAAAGGTGTTTCGATTCCTCCCATAGATCATGCTGGGAGGGAACACACTACAGAGGTGTATACACGTTCGTGGTGTGTTTAAAAGGTTAGTAAATCAACCCCTTAAACTCAGAATTCTGACTTTCAAGCACAGCATTTTAAAAACAGAATTCTAAGACTAAATGTCAGAATTCTGAGTTTAAAAGTCAGAATTCTGAGATTACAATTCAGAATTCTGAGATTAAAAATCAGAATTCTGACTTTAAATCTTAGAAATTCTTTTAGCATGGCCCCAAGGCTCTTCCGTACAGATACACTGTATCCTACAAATTAACATGTTCTGTTATTAAGACTTAATCTGGCCACACACAGTTTTCCGGCAATTCAACTGCTTTGAACCAACTTTTGATCAAACGACCTACCAAATGGATGAATGTAAGCTACCGCCAACAGGTTCTATGGACATTATAAAAAGGATCTAAGGTGGTGGTAGGTTTTCTTGATGCATTTGGTGGTTGAAAATGGTTGAAATTGACTAAAAAGTGTGTGTGATCAGCATTAGAGGCAGAACTAGCAGAAGCTTTGTATAGGCATTGTATAGGCATGGCCCAAATTTACCCCCAAACATCCTATTGAGCATATCCTAGTATTCCCTTAACATAAAAAATATAATTGATGATAAGTTTACTTTAATTCTTCAGTATCTGTCAAAAACGGAAATATTAATTGTGGATGTACTAACCTTTAAAAGCAGAACTCTGGGAAAAACGTTTATTAACCCTTGGTTGTTGTAGGGAGCAAAATAACACAGTTATACTCACCCAATCCCCTCCTGCCTGGCTTCTTCATTGCTTCAGAGATGGTATGTCCCTCACATCCTGTACACTGTGTATAGATTGTGATGACTTGGGGACCTTAGACCAGTGCAGCGGAGGGGGAGACAGGCTGGAAGGGCCACTCTAAGAGCAAGCTGTCTTTGAGGATTGGAAGAGTATAACTGTTTTATTTTCCTCCCTAGTCCAACATGAGCAGTCAATCCCCTGCACTGCAATGGTTAATAAAAGTTTTGCCCCAAGTTCTTCTTAAAGCAATTATGGTCGTAGCAGGGCTTGGTTCCTTGTATCCATTTTTCTGTAGGCTGTTCTGCGGTGACCATAATGCTCAGAGCTGCTTATTTAATGAGTCTCAGTTTCAGTTCTGTGCACGGGGTATCACCATTTCTGTCCTATTAAAAGTACCATATTAAAAATACCCAGAGGCCCATGAATAGAGATACAATCCAGTACCTTTTTTCATGACAATTATCATGGTACAATTAAATTATAGGAAAGTAAGAGTGCCGCATTGACCTCTACCTCAAGTAACAGGAGTTTTAAAAGATCTGTGATATGAATGTGATGTTAAAATAGGACCCAATTCAAGTTACTGGGATCATTCCAGCAACTGATGTACAATTTCCACATGACAGCTGCCAAAAAACTCATAAAATGTGTCATAAGTCACAAAATCAGCGAAACACAAAACACTTCCAGAGACCTCAAAGCTCAGCAGACTTGAGTTCTGAGCCTAGTGAGAGGCCTGCAATATCCGATAGCCATTGTAATTGTTGTTCTCACAAAAACCAGTCACTGACACCATGTTGTGCCAGAGGTGAACACGGATACTGTGAAAAGATCATTTAGCTTGCAGCCGCTTTGGTAAGGGATTAGATTAAAGCTTGCTTGTGTTCCAGAGAAAACACATCTTGTATTTGCAAAGGGCTTAAACAGCTATCTGAAGATGAAAAGTAAATATCCAGGGCGATGGTCTAATTTGTCAGTGAATGTTCTCATCCACGTATGATGCCACAGGGTCTGTTTGGGATTCTTGGATTTATTTTGTGGGTCACACTGTAGATCATACTGCCTAATAGCGCCGTTATGTTTAAAGTGGAGATCTGCTGTCACCCAGAGGCTGTAGTGGGGAATGAACTATGTGCTTGAATTTAATAGTAAGAATTCACTATTATATTGTCTAGTATCATTCTTTCTAACAGGTATTCCAGATACCAGTTCAGATACCAGTGCCGATACTTGGCATTTTCACAAGAACTACCAGGGTTGCAGCGGTTGCGGCTTGGACTTAGCTCTGGTGCTCCATCACTGTCCTGAAATCATTAGTCTGTATTGTTTTAGAAAAACTGTCACATGACACTAAACAAACATGTATCAGTACTTGTATCTGTGAGTACTTGGACAAGTATCAGTACTTGTACTTGAAACAAATGGTATCGGTGCATCCCTTATATATATTTATTTAAAAAAATAATGCATTAAAATGGGGTTGTACAAATCCCAGGAGCTCCGTGTGCTCCTTACAAATGACAGCTGCCTCCTAACTTTTGAGTTTTTCTCTAGTCTAGTCTTGGAGCTGGAAAAGTATCTGTACTTGTACTGAGTACGGTACTTGGTATCTGAACATCCCTAGTTTCTAACAGTACAAAACAATGATTTGCTGAAGTCGTGAATAATTTGTGCAGTGTTAATGTAACAACATGTACAGTACAATATATTTTGTTCGATTGTAGAGAATTCAGTATTTTCAATTATATTGTAACAAAATGGAGAACTTCCCGACCAACACAGCTGTAAGGAGATAATAAAATGAATGGCTCAGTAAAGAACTCTGCTTGTTGGATAGTGTGTCATGGCGTGTTGACCTGAACATTGCATGAAGTAAGGCAATGCTATTACATTTATTTGAACTGCTTCTTGTGAAAGGTCCCTGCCATAAGTGTGGACAGCGGGCACTTAGCAGAACCTGCAAATCATGGGCACTGCATGCTTTTCTGACTATATGAGCGTGGCCTTTATATAGGGCTTTATCACCTCTTGAGCACCACCTTCTAAAACCTGTTTTAAGGTTTCAAAAGGTGGTGCTTAAGAGGGGATTTCAACAAAGGTCAGGTGCTCCCCAAAACACAAAATACTGTTTTTTTTTTGCTTTAGTTCTCTTTTGGGTCACAGGAGTACATTTACTACTGCCCACTATATGCTGACAGCGCAGAGCCTCGCTGTAGCCGGGAAGGATCCTGACAATATTGTTAGGATTGTCCGATTGACAGCTGGTTCTGACTCTCTAGAGCTGTGCCCGCCCCCTCCCCTGTCTGCCCCTCCAATAAGTGTTTGAGGAACAGAGAGAGGGGAGCGGGAAATCCTGCTCTCTGCAGGGAGAAACCGTGACCTGAATGATCAGTGGTTTGTGATCGAGCTATAGTGCTGACGTGTGACAACTGCTAACTATTGGGAAGAGCACATTTTACTCTCCTGACAACTTCCATGGCCCAATATCACTGCTTCTTCACAGCAGCACTAGAAAGAATGTCGGGTGCACACTGGCTGAACATGCTTCAGCATCAGCAGTTACTCACAGAAAAAAGTCTGGTCGCACACCGCAACCTTCGCTGAAAAGTTTATTTTAGAACACAGGTATACATGTCCCACCATGGATCCTTTTCACTGTAAAGAGTGGAGAGGATCCATGGCAGGATGATGTGTTCCCCTGTGCTACAATAAATTTTCCAGCAATGTGTGTGTTGTGCCCCAGGGCTTTCGTTCTGTGAGTAATTACTCTCCCAATACTTCTACAATACAATACAATACAATAGACTTAAGCACAGAAATGCTCCCAAAAGCTGAAATACATCCAAACATTTTACAAAAATATATACAAACTCAAAATTCCCTCCCTAAAGAACTATTCCAAAGCCACTTATTTACCAACCCTCTATTAAAAGAATTTACCTAATTACATATTTCTAATAAAAACTCACCATTTCTTGGGACCTCAGACACAGCGCAGTTACAATTTTTGTTGTTGTTTATGAATATCGTTCTATGGTTTCTAGGTGTTTATGGGGTCCCAAGAAACAGTGGGCTTTTATTGAGAATTTGCCCCCATGTACATGCTTTTAATAGAGGTTTGGTAATAAAGGAATATAACATACCTCCCAGCTCTCTGAAATGAGAAAGAGGGTCAACTTCCAGCACAATGTATTTAGGCAATGGACACCCCCCTGCCATGCCCACAGTTATGAAAACTATTACGAATTGATAAGCCAAACTTGATTGGTTCAACCTATTTTTTCTTGCCATCAGTTTTCATTTAAATAGCAAACGATAATTAAGAGATCAGTGAAAGTCGCAAAATAATACTTTTGGTAAATAAGTTA